GAACGGTCAAAAGTTTAAAGTGCCGGTGATGTGTTCTTGACTGTACATTCTAATAACGTGTAGTGTACGTAAAAAAACAAAACTGTTATAATCTACAAGCTAGAGTATAATCTACAAATAAATGAAAGGCAGTAAATTGTCCACAAAGCAGCCAAATGGTATATAAGTTAAATTGAATGAAAGTTAAAGAAACTTCATAAAATATACTATGTAATATACATACTTTTACCTACATATTAAATATATATCTATACATACACAATACATCGAATATGTTTGTGATGTATATTTCTAAACAATAATATACTATACATATCAAGTTCTTGGGTTTTCGTGATTGTTACACATAGGAAATGAAACTTTGTTTTCGGATCTAAATCTATCCAATAAATTTGTTTTTTGAAACAAACGGTTGAAGAAACAACTATACGCGATTTAGATGCGAAATAATGGTTTCATTTCGTATATATTATATACGTGTTATTAGAATTTAAAGAGTATATTTATAAATAAAACGTTAGCTTTTCCGTATCTTTTACATAGAAATTTACTAACTTGGTATAATCTTATGTTTTTGTTGGTCTCCAGCACCATAGATTGTCACTTCATAAGAAGTTATTGACCATGCAAATAATTTATATGGTCTGTGTTATTGACAAACACACAAGTGGAAAACAAAAGAGAATCTATTCTTCGTTAAACTTTTAGGAATTCGGCAATAATATTGATATAATAGTACAGATGCGAGAATACAAATCATAGAGACGTTTTATTGCGGTCGGTGGTGATTCACGGCGCTCTCTAGATTTCTATAACGATCAACATTTCACATTACAACCTGTGTGTTGAAGGATAATATTTGGATAATTTTTTAAGGTTTTTCAACTTCTTTCAATAAATACGTAGTTTTGTAGGTGTAAGAGTAACATGGTGACTTTTAGCAGTGATGTAAACGCACGTTCGTGAAACGCGCGATTACATCGCTACGAATACAAAAATAGCTCAATTGAATTGTGTAACATGATAAGGGAATCCTGAAATATTGCAATTTCAATTCCACAAGTGATGATTTGATGCCAGACTTGTTAGCCGCCCTTTGCATTGACAGTTAATGATTCTTTTCCGATGGTATACTAGATATATGTAATATATATGGGCTGATTTTATATACCAGTTATTATTACTATTATTTAATATACGTATGTGGGTGCATGTATGTTGTGCATGGGTTTGTATTTCAGGGATTTTGCAAAAGTATCAGTGTGCTGGCGTGGTGGGGTTTATGTAAATGTTTTTATTTTTATTAATAAATTAAAATAAATAAGAAATGAGCTGGTTATACCTACCAGAGCAGAAATAAGTTGTTCTGTGTCATCGTTGTTCAACTCCTTGGGCTAAAAGATCACCTTCAACTTGCATTCACTTGACCTTACTTATTTAGAATATGAACAGAAAGCATCATATATATTTACAATAGAGAAAGCGACCAAGATAGAAAAAAAATTTAGAGATGGAGAGCCGATTATTATTGGCAGTATTTCGTTTTCGAGGAATGTTCCTGTTCATCAATCAAAGCTGACAAGTCAATTAATGTTTATTTCTATTATAAACTACTTATAATTCATGTAAGCACATATTATACAACGGAGCGCAACCATATGATAGAGTTTACCACATGAAAAAGTATACTCGTAATGTTTTTTTTGCGAGTGTCTACCGATTCTTTTTCACAGGAAAAAAAGATAGATAATCTTTTTTATCACTTCCTTCCAAATTCACTTATTTCCAAAACACGTACAAAACGTTATGATGAGAATACAAGAATTACCTTTCTGTATCCTTTCTTTTTCGAAACAATATAATATTTCTCGATTTTTTTCCTGCTTTAATATTGATGGAATGACTCGTATCAAATTTAAAATAAATTGAACGAAGAGTTTCTGACTTATTTGGCGCGTACAAATGTTAAAATACACTTTCCCTTGGGATGTCATTAATTTTCTTCTTCGTTGTTCCCATCTATACTTACATTTCTACTTTTAAGTACAGATGCAGCTGAGACGTCGCTTAATGAAACCTGTATAATGTTGTGGTCAAATGCTTGTGCTTAACGATTTCGTACAATAGATATCAATACTAAGAGCCTTTAGAGTTTATGTTTTAAAAGCGTATATCATGCGTTTATAAAGGCGTATAAAATTTCACCATACCCTTTTTTTTGCTTTAACTTTTTCGAGTTCGGAATCTACATATATTATTATATGTAATTTCAATTTATTACTCATCAACGTTCGAATGACAATAGTTCCTCGTTGATTAATCTACAATATCAATGTTTTTCATGTCTATAATGGTATAATTACTGTTTTATTATAGTATTTAATTTGAAATTTATCATGAGTTTTTCGGTGAAGGAAAATATCGTGGAAGAAGGTTCACAGTCCGTTCCGATTTTGAAGGGTAAGGGTGCTGGTGAAATTACAGGCCCGTGGGACTTTTCATCTTATGTCTCAGGTGATGGGCGCAGAGCAAGTGCACCTCAGATATTTGCAATTCAAAGCCCTGAGTGGCAATGCAACTGTTTTGAACAGGCGTGTCGTTTACCATCAGGCGCACGACTTGTTCGCCTATTCACTTAGTATCATAAAAAAAGTCAAATTACAATAATATACAGCGCACGCCGTTTTAACTTATTTATCAGAGTGACGGGTGTAGTAGCAGTGCCCCTCCGAATATCGCGATTTAAAACTCTGAGCGCTACTACAACTGTTATGGACAGACGTGACGCTTACCATCAGGAGCACGACTTGTTCGTCCTGTCACTTGGTATAATAAAAAAAATACTAGTCGAGAGGGTCAGGGGCTTGGTGGGCTGTAATCACTAAAATCTTAAATAAACATTTCAGTGGCTGTAATACAGATTTAGTTGCCTAGTACGATCTCCAGTCCCTCACAAGGGTTTCAATATTTAATGTTGTTAGCCTTTATTTTAATACAAGATCTGCTCCTTGTGTTGAGGTAATAAACCATTATTATTATCATTATTTTTTAATTGTACTATGCAGAACAGCCGCATGATTTTAATAACTATAGCACATCGTCATGGAAATGAAAAAAGAAATTGATTTCAGATTTTTTTTTTCTTAATACCTGCTTGTGACATACAATAAAAACAATATTTTCTAAACATCTTTTACAAAAACTTATATTCCTATATGTACGGACTAAGATTAAGAGTAAAATTTGTTTAGCTTACATTACATGGGTACACTAGAACAACATCGGAACAAATAAACTATAATGTAAGAATTAAGTTTAATTGAATTAGATGAAAAGATCTTTAATTATAAACAGTTGCTACTATTGCATACTTACTTACTCGTAAACAACAACTTTGCGTTTGTGTTGAGACACGGTTCCAAAATATTCCACAATGATATTGACTATAAAATTGTATTGTAATTTTACACTAAGACAAAAGCTATTGACTTTATCCAATTATCAATGCTCGTTTTTGCATAGTCACGGAAACTATGCCAGTAAAATAATATGTAATTCTATATTATATTTACATCAACAAAACAAAATTGCAAAAAGTCAAAAAAACCAAAACTCAGTACCGATACACCAATAAACAACATACATCATTGGATAATTAACTAACTTGAGATCATAAGACAAGAATCATAAGGGCTAATAAAATAGGCTTTGTACAATAAAAAACATGTAATAAAGGTGTACAATTTTGGAGCATTGCATTGTATGGTAGTCAGACGTAGACAATAACATCGAGAGACAGAGAACGAAAGCATTTGAGAAATGGTGCTGGAGAAGAATGAAGGAAGTGCTAAGAGTAGTGCAAGGAGAAAAGAGAATCTTATTAAAGACAATAAAGAGCCGAAGGGGATAAACGTTTGGGTAACTAATACGACACGATAGTTTTATTAAAGCATTAATGTAGGGCAGATCTCAAAAAAATAGAAGCAGTGGAAGACCTATGGTTGACCTAAAAGTTTTTACTACAAGTAAGTTTAAAGAAAATAGAACTATTTTCTTTTGAAATGTTATATTGTCTATGGTCACCTTGAAAATAATATTTTAGCGCGCATTTTAAGAATCGGCGGGAAACTTTTAAGTTTATAATGAATAAAAACGCCCAGAACTGGTGAATCGTAATGGTATAGTATTTCACCATAATAATGCCAAACTACACACCTTTACAAACCCGTCAAAACTATTGCAGTTAGGTCGCTATATTTTCTCTTATCTTCTATACTCGCCCGACAAAGGCCCAAAATAGAAATTTTTAATTGTTTCGGTATTTACAAAATTCTTTGAATGGCTACGACTTTAATCATCAAGCGACTCTACTTTGATTTAAACTTTCACTATTTTCACACATTATTTGATTTTTAATTCGGGACTTAATCACGTAGAAAAACATATTTTAATTACCTCGACGTTTCGAAGGGACTGAAGAGGCGGGTGTCAGCATCTTGTAGCCTTGCGAGTTTTTCTAAGTACCCGTACTTGTTGATCTTCATTATTTATTTATGCACTAGGGTTCTCACTAGACCGACACACAACACTCACGACACCGGGTGACTTATCGGGCGATACTTGATGTCGTTTACATTTGCTGATAACTGGATCCCATGACGATAAAAGCTTGAAACAGTCTTCTCGATTGAAATTACGGTGTTTTTTAATTTCAATAGCTTCACGTACGATTGTATTATAGTGATAACGTTCAGAAGAAAGAACGTCATTACTATAGTAGAATCGCATACGTGATTAAGTTCCGAATTAAAAATCAAATAATCTTAGAGATGTATTTTATAACTAATGACAGGAACTTTTATAAAAAGGGAATTCTAAACTTACCCCAAACAGTAAAAGATTGTAATTAAGTTTATTGAATGTCAGGATATTTCACCACCATAATTATGAAGTTTTTGGAATAGTGAAGATATATATAATAAATATATAGATAAAGTAGATTTCTCACAGATGGCCTTTGGCAAAAAATCCTTAAAAACCAAAAACTAAGATCTGCAATAAGCACATACAAAACTTCGTAAGATTCGCTGGTTCATTTCGTGGCTTAGTTGGCTTAGCGTCTAGTACGGTTTGCTGAAAGACGCTGCTTCGCACCCAGCCAGATCGAAGGAATTTTTTCTTACTGTTCGATTTTTCTATTCATAATCATAGCAAAAGATTATAGATCACCATGGCCAATACATAATAATAATTGATTAAAGTTTTATACACATTTTTATATTTTTCATTGATATCACACGGACTTTTTGGCCAACTCAATAGATAAAAAGGGAAGAGTTAATGTTGTGTAGTCGTAGTGTTAAAGTGACGACGCTAAACAAATATGATTGGCGATTGCACAACAGACATGAACCTAGTTCTTAAATATTTTCCGAATATAAGTACTCACAATAATTTGCACGCAGTAATTAGTGACTTTGCGTGCTATAAATTTGAGCCATTTTGTCCATTTTAAATTACATAATGTATCATATCATATCTATATGTTCGATCCAATAGACCATCAATTAAAGTTTTGTTTTACTGTGCACCATTAAAACACTTGGCACTTCATGTTACGTTGCATGAATTACTTTTGCTCAATAGGTATCAAAATGCAAAAGAACATATACGTTACCTTCATACTCATATTTAAAAATAAACTCTGTTTGAAATCACTTTACGAATCATTAAATTTCTGTTACTTCTTTTCAAATTTGAACGCCGCGGACTAGTATAGGTACTTTCGAGATATATTTCAAACAATATCTGGCAGATATAATACTTCACAACTATCTTAAAATTATGGCGTTCCGTATTTGCAAAAGATGCAAAATCGTACAATCCTTACGGAATTGATAACAAGACGTTTAGATTTGTTTATAAATCAGAACTTCTTTTAAAATGTAGGTAACTTTTAACCATAAATAAAATGTATCAATCCTCTCCACTGTCTTTTTCTGAGCAATCTCGATTGTCTTTAGCTCTTACAGCTTTAAATTCCATCCATATTGGTGTTCCGAACCAAAATTGATAAGACGGAGCTGTTTATGGAATGACTTCGGTGTCCGTCCTTTAGTCTGGTTTTAAAACTTTAGAATCGTGGTGGATAAAGTATAATGCCGGAAATCGCTGTAAGAAGAGGTGCAGCGAATAGTGGGGGTGGAGAAGAGCAGTAAGCGCGGGGTTGTTGCGTACATGCAGCCACGTCCTGAGCCAGTACCCACGCCATGCGCCGGAGAAGAGTGCCAGCCGATGCAGAGCATGAACGGCCAGCGTGCGCAACGCATGTTATAAATGCGTCTCGGGCACTGGAAAGAAACATGTAAATTTTATTAATCATAATAAAATAAATAATATAAAAAATTAACCTTACACCAATTTAAGTTGACCTCAAATTTTAAAACACGAAAACTAAATTAAATATGAATGAATAACTTAAAATATGGCTTACAAAAGGTGGTACAAGTATACATAATAAAACAGTTGTTATATATTTTTTACCGATATTGGCATGCAAATCTATGGATAACTATATTTTGGCAGCTAAACGATTCTAAAGCAATTCCTATAAGTATTAAGATTAACATTGTTTCTGGTAGTAACTTAATTTGGTAAAACGATTACAAAGTAACATTTTACACTGTAAATGTCCCGTGTCTTTTCTAAAAGTTTATTATTATTCTTTACAAAATTAGCTACTTCAAAGATACAAGGCAGCATTTAAATAAGGGTCTACACGATTCTCGGGGTCCCAAGTCAAACATTGCCTGTACGTATTTTTTTGGGCTACAAATAATTTATTTACTTACATCCGTTGAATTTCCCCAAACAACAAGCCCATATCGAAGTAAGGATGCTACATCACCATGAAAGGCCTCTTAAGTTGCTGACACAGCGGAAGTGTCACGCAACCTTCTTAGACCATAAGCATGATGAAGTAAAGTGTTCCGTATTGTTTCAGTATGAAGTTTTCACTCCAACTTATCGTCAATAATCACATCCAAAAATTTTGGTTGTTGTATTTCTTGTAAAATGTGTCCGTTGTAATTAATATTCAGTTTTAAGGTTTCTTAGTCGAACCTTTACGAAAAGTAACTTAACTCACAGTCTTTATTTGGACCTTTAGCCCGATTTGTGATTGTCAATTAGGGGATCACAGTAAATTTACTTGTGTTTGTTACAGCGTTCTTTCGAAGTAAAAACAAACCCACTATCAGTCGCAAATAGCGTCGTAATAATTTGTTTCAACAAACTGCGACTTAGTTAAGCAGATTTACGCTTTGCTTTCTTTGGTTTTATGAGATATGCGATTGCCATATAAATTAAATTCCTCACAGAAATGGCTTGTGTGTGAAAACTTGCCAAGACAAAAGTTTTATGGTCATCAAACAATAATTTGTCTTTTTAAAATATTACAACCACCATACCTTTCTACGTTAGTTTTGATTATAGTGACCCTCCCTACCTACTCTTAGGGCATATGAGAAGGACACTATAACCTGTGAGCGTACAGGAACCTTATAAGTTCAGGTTCTGACCCCAGATCAGCCAGTGTACAGGGTTCTCACAGACCTCTGTCACTTTATTTCATCCGGTTCTTCGAGAGGATATTACAAAATATTACAGGTAGAGAAACGTAGTTTAGTAGCAGTAGAGCTCCTTGTGAAAGAGTTCGTCCAGGGAAGTGCTGCCACCGTACCTATTTCTGCTGCCAAGCAGTAATGTCAGCATTACCGTTTTCCGGTTTTGAAGGGTAAGGATGCTGGTGGAATTAAAGGCACATGGGACTTGTCAACTTATACCTCAGGGTGACGAGCGCAGTGACAGTGCCCCTCAAATCCTTGCGATTTAAGGCTCTGAGTGGCACTGCAACTGTTATGGACAGGTGTGTAGCTTAACTATCAGGCGCACGACATTTTCGTCCCGTCACTTGATATTGTAAAAAAGAGTTCTTTTTTCCAAGACTTTTACTGCGGCTATAATTGAAGTTGATACTACATACAAAAGACGTACTAACTTACAATAAACGTAATTTTAGATAGAGCAATACAATGGTTCATAGGGAGATCCTGTGTCGCGGGTGTCATGGACACTCACATAAACAGCCACATATTAGACCCAAATTCACGAGAGAAATAAACGTAGGTCATACAAATATTTCGCCCAACCCGGGAATCGAACCCGAACTTCTGCGTAGCAGTCCAGCATGGTAACCTTTCGGCCAGCCACGCAGGCTGTTAAAACAAATATGTTCAATTTAGGCTTAGTGAGTCGAGCCGTGCCGAAATCATCCCATCTCATTATTTCCTTTATAAGAACAAAAGTCATTCTATATTGGAGAATAAAAAGAAACATAACGTTTTAGAAACAAAACTCCTATTAAAGAAAACATACACTCATGTTAACAATTCAATTCAAATTCAAAATTATTTATTGTTCTTTCCACCTTAACAATACCAAATTACAGGGTATTTAAAGTAAAAACCTTACTTACTTACTACTTTACTTTTCTGTACTAGAAGCTCATGTATTGATATTCCTTTTTGGTAATTCTACCAAATTTTATCTACGAATCTACAGAGTTTTGGAACTTATTGTCCACCACTCATAGGAACTGAATTATTTTCCTTGTAGGCAATTATGTAAATTACAGAAAAAAGGGAGGGTGTTAAGTCAGGTAACTGTAGCGGGTGTCGAAGAACTTCAGTTTACAACTCCTATAAGGCAAAGACGCTTTCTTGGGTATTATCGTGCAAAATAGGAGTGACAATCGATTTTATCAAAACAACAACCACTGGTAATGAAAAAAATTTAAGTTTAGAAAGCCCAACCTTTTGAATCGTTCTTTTCAGAAATAGCCGTTAACACTACAGAATCATTAAATTTCTCTCCTTCTCTTGCTATTGATCTCCTAAAAAAAATGTTAATGTTTGTGGTAGTATATTTAATTTTCATCCTGTTAATGCACAAGACATCATTAAAGGTTTTAAATCTATACATGTTAATAATCTCAGTACAGAGTACTAAAAAAACCGACCTCAAAAGTACGTGGAATTACGTCTATTTGCTAAGTTTTATTGAAATATCCCCTAGTTCGCATATGGTCTTCCCGGCCGCCTTTGTGAGTGGATCTCCGGCTTTCTGCGCGAGCGAAGATTGCGTGTCCTTGTTGACGGAGGCACTTCGCGGCTCGTGACAGTTAATGCTGGGGTGCCACAGGGCTCCGTGCTGTCGCCCACGCTGTTCCTTCTGCATATCAATGACTTGTTGCCTTTTAGCAACATTCATTGCTATGCAGATGATAGCACAGTGCACGGTTGCTATTATAAGCAATCGTTAAGCAGCCGGGAGGACCCTGAGAGAAACCGGGAAAAACTTGTCGCTGAGCTCAACCATGTTTTGGAACATATATCGTCGTGGATCTCCCGAAACTTGGTTGAGTTCAACGCCAAGAAAACCCAAGTATGCGCGTTCAGCTCCAAAAAATCCCCATTCCTTTCACTTCCTTGTCTTCAGGGTACAACCCTGACGCTGCAGGACAAGCTCAGCCTACTGGGGATGAGCATCCGGAAGGACATGAACAAAAAAGAGTATATCGAGAGCGTCATCTGTAACGCGTCGCGCAAGCTTGGCATCCTGAACAAGGTGCACCGATTTTTTACTTCAGAGCTGCGATACCTGTTGTATAAAGCTCAGGTCCGAAGCAGCATAGAGTACTGTTCGCACCTTTGGGATGGCTCTGCCAAGTACTTGCTCGATGCTCTAGATGGACTGCAGCGCTACGCCTTCCGTGTTGTCAACGATCCTCATGTAACTGAGCATGCGGAGTCGTTACAGCTTCGCAGAGATATAGCGTCTCTTAGCGTTTTCAACCTTATCCCTTCCTCTCCTTTCCATCAGCGGACCACGCGTGCCGGACTGCGTTGCCACGGTTGGACGGTCAGTTCAATACCGTCCCGCACTAAAAAGTTTGGCAATTCGTTTTTATGCCGAACCATCAAATTGTGGAACCAACTCCCGACGCATGTATTCCCTCCCCTCTATAACATCGGGTTCTTCAAACGTAGTGTGAAGAAGCATTTGGCCAGGCCGGTAAAATGATAGTGACGGAGTGAAGATATTTGTGTTTTCCATCCGTTACTCTTATCTCTGGACTGTATTCGCACTTTCCATCAGGCGCGGTGCAGTCATTTTGCCGAGTCACAATAAAAAAAAAACATCTTCCTTAGCCAGCAGATTAAGCTCTGCTACACCGCAGTCCGTAGAATACGTGAGTCTACCGATGTTGCTACTGCTACACTAGTTTACTTTGGTTACTTCCATAGTATAATGTCCTACGGGATTGTCATGTGGGGTAAAGCGGCAGATATGCAAACCATATTTGTGTTGCAAAAGCGAGCGATTCGTTCTGTGTACCGTTTAGGTTCTAGGATTTCTCTCAGAGAAAAGTTTAAGGAGACTGGTATCATGACTGTGGCATCGCAGTACATTTACTCAAATATTTTGTATGCCCGTAAAAATATACATAATTTCATTAAGAAAGACGATATTCATAATATTAACCTTAGAACTAAGTCCAAACTCATGGTACCACGATTTGGTTTAACTAAGGTAAACTATTCTTTTATGGGGAACTGTATATGTTTTTACGATAAGATTCCGGAGAATATATTAAGATTGTCATTTCCCAAGCTTAAAACTTACATTAAAAGTATTTTATTTGAAAAGTCACATTACAAAATTGAAGAGTATGTTTTAGATAACGAAGTATGGAAAGACAACAACAGTCTAGATTGCACACAATTGCCAGTTCGGCGTCAACATTCGTTGGATAGACACATAGTTGTTGTTGTTGTGAACCGGTTGCAAATCAGGGGTGTTCAACTAGTTTACCATGTTTACTACTCAGTGTGTTAGTTGTAATGAAGTGGTCGGACACGGTCCTGAGTGCTCGAAGTGCAAGAGCAAATACCACTTCAACTGTCATGGAATATCAGAGCGCGGCTTTAATAGACTTGGTACCGGCCGGAGCTCATGGTTATGCTCTCCCTGCCGAGATGGAAATACCGTCGATTTTCCGTGTTCTTCACTGATGACTCCTCAAGAGGATTGCACTGCGAGACCATCTACTCCACTGACCGAACCAGCTACACCATCTGCCCAGCCTACTGTTCCTAGATTTTCTTCGGCATTACCACTGGATCGGTGCAGTCTCGGACCAACACGTGAGTCAACTCCCTCCGCCACGCCCCATTTAGTGGGTCTCGCGGTGGATGCACGCGCATCGTCGCCGCCGGCTCCCGCGCCG